TCCTACCTAAATAGTTGTCTTGTGGAGTAACGCCCAAGCGGAACGCAAGATAATGAAATATGGATCTTGGCCCACTAGAGGTTTCGCCGGAAATCTCCGAATCAATATCGAGGGTTATTGATTTGTTAAAAATAGTGGGAGATAATTAATTAAAGGCCTAATTAATTATTAAACATGATAGATAACCTAGTTTGCAAAAATTTTCTGTAGATGGCAAACAACAACAACCCATTCAACCTGCGTTACATCCTGAAAAACAACAAGTTATCCGGGACCAACTTTCTTGACTGGGAGATGAACCTCCAGATCGTTCTTGACTGTGAGAGGAAACTCTACATCCTCGAAACGGATCCTCCCAAGACCCCTGATGCTGATGCTCGTGCGTTCGAACTCACTTCCTTCAAGAAGTATGAGGACGACGCACGAGATGTAAAGTGTATCATTATGGCCAGTATGACCGCGGAGCTCCAAAGGCTCCACGCGGACATGGAAGTGCATCCTATGATACAATGCTTAAGAGACCTTTACCAGGGTCAGCCCCAAAACTCAGGAATTTACGTTATCGAAGTCAATATGTCTGATATCACCTCTTGGGTGATGGATACTGGATGTGGTTCTCACATCTGTACTTCTATGGAGAACTTGCATGAATGTAGACAATTGACAGAGGGAGAGATACAACTAAAAGTCGGCAATGGCGCACTCGTTTATGCATTGGCCGTCGGAACCTATAGTTTATCTCTACCTAGTGGTCTTATATTGCATTTGAATAATTGTCTGTTTGTACCTAGTATGAGCAGAAACATCATTTCTGTATCCTGCCTTGACAAAGCAGGATTTTCGTTCGTTGTAAAAGACAAAACTCTTTCTGTCTTTAGAAATGATATATTTTATGCAAGTGCAAAAATGACGAACGGTCTCTATGTCCTTGACATGGATACCGCAGTATATAACGTAGATGTTAAGAGAAACAAACCCAACAGTTTAAATCTCGCGTACCTTTGGCATTGTCGTTTGGGCCACATTAACGAGAAACGCATATCTAAGTTACATCGTTCTGGTGTACTTGATTCATTTGACTTCCAGTCATATGATGTATGTAAATCTTGTTTACTTGGTAAAATGACAAAGGCTCTATTCACCGGTCACGGTGAAAGGGCGAGTGACTTATTGGGCCTTATACACTCCGATGTCTGTGGTCCAATTAGCACTGTAGCTAGAGGTGGTTATTCTTACTTCGTTACATTTACTGATGACCTTAGTAGATTTGGATATGTGTATCTCATGAAACACAAATCGGAATGCTTTGACAAATTCAAAGAATTCAAGAACGAAGTAGAAAAACAATTAGGCAAAAGTATTAAGACCCTCCGCTCGGATCGAGGAGGTGAATACTTAAGCCTGGAGTTTGATGACTATCTGAAAGAGCATGGGATTTTATCCCAACTCACTCCTTCGGGGACACCTCAGGTAAACGGAGTGTCTGAGAGGAGAAATTGGACTTTGCTAGACATGGTCCGGAGCATGATTAGTCTGACAACATTGCCAGAATCATTTTGGGGATATGCATTGAAAACAGCAGCACACACACTCAACAGAGTTCCATCTAAAGCTGTCGAGAGCACACCATACGAACTATGACGTGGGAGAAAACCGAGTTTCTCGTACTTTAAGATTTGGGGCTGTGAAGCTTATGTAAAACGTCTCATGATGTCTAGTAAGTTGGAGCCTAAATCAGATAAAGTAATTTTTGTGGGATACCCCAAGGAAACTAGAGGGTATGAGTTCTATCATCCATCCGATAACAAAATTTTCGTTGCTCGGAATGGAATCTTCCTTGAGAAGGAGTTTCTTTCTGCTATCACTAGTGGGAGAAAGGTAGACCTCGAAGAAATTCGAGAACCACAAGAAGAAGTCCCGATAGTGTTGGAACCTGAGAAAAGAGATCAAGCAATTGAACCTCAAATTGCTCAAGATATACCACGTAGGTCAGACCGGATACGTAATCCTCCGGTCAGATATGGATTTCTCATGTCTGATCAAGGTGACGTCTTGTTGGTAGATCAAGGCGAACCAGAGACCTACCTCGAGGAAATTACATGCCCCGAATCCGATCTATGGCTCGAAGCCATGAAATCTGAAATGGAGTCTATGTACACAAACCAAGTGGTGGTCCCAAAGTGGTGAGATACAAAGTCTAGAGGGGGGGGGGGGGTGAAT